TAATAGGAAGGAACAAGGGGTTTTGCTGGTTGAGATAAGGATAGCTATACAGGGCATTGACTCACATTGATTTCCTGTGCGTGGGTGTTACCTTCTAGGCTAATTCTTCTTGAACTAACCTTTTCTCTAGTACCTGTCCCCTTTTCCTATTGGCCTCAGTTGCTTTAAGGTATCTGCTTTAGTTTCTCTGCGTTAAGGGCAACAAATGCTAGCTAGTTTTTTAGGTGTCTTACCTATCCTCACCCCTCCCTTGTGTGCTCTCGATTTTATCATGTGCTCATAGTCCAATCCCCTTGTTGTGTTTGCCCTTGATCTAATGTCCACATATGAGGGAGAACATACGATTTTTGGTCTTTTGGCCAGGCTAACCTCACTCAGAATGATGTTCTCCAATTCCATCCATTTACCAGCGAATGATAACATTTCGTTCTTCTTCATGGCTGCATAAAATTCCATTGTGTATAGATACCACATTTTCTTAATCCATTCGTCAGTGTGGGGCATCTTGGCTGTTTCCATAACTTGGCTATTGTGAATAGTGCCGCAATAAACATGGTGTGCAGGTGCCTCTGGAGTAACAGTCTTTTGGGTATATCCCCAAGAGTGGTATTGCTGGATCAAATGGTAGATCGATGTCTAGCTTTTTAAGTAGCCTCCAAATTTTTTTCCAGAGTGGTTGTACTAGTCTACATTCCCACCAACAGTGTAAGAGGGTTCCTTTTTCCCCACATCCTCGCCAACACCTGTTGTTGGTGGTGTTGCTGATGATGGCTATTCTAACAGGGGTGAGGTGGAATCTTAGCGTGGTTTTAATTTGCATTTCCTTTATTGCTAGAGATGGTGAGCATTTTTTCATGTGTTTTCTGGCCATTTGAATTTCTTCTTTTGAGAAAGTTCTGTTTAGTTCACGTGCCCATTTCTTTATTGGTTCATTAGTTTTGGGAGAATTTAGTTTTTTAAGTTCCCTATCTATTCTGGTTATCAGTCCTTTGTCTGATGTGTAGCTGGCAAATATTTTCTCCCACTCTGTGGGTGTTCTCTTCAGTTTAGAGACCATTTCTTTTGATGAACAGAAGCTTTTTAGCTTTATGAGCAATATGACCTCTTAAGACTGACAAAAAATGCAGTTAATAGGAGCCATATGGGGCTGTAGCTGGGTCATGCAGCATAGTGTTTTATAGTAAACTGTGGGGTGTTTTTTGTTTTTGAAGCAGGGTCTCACTATGTATCCCAAGCTACCCTTAAACTAGTTATCGTCCTGCCTCCTCCTCCCAAGTGCTGGGATTACAAGCATGCAAAGTTTATACCTAAGCCATAAACTTTGTTTTATATCAGCAGAAATAGCAAACTCATAAATAACTATAAAAGTATAGTAAATATGGAAATCAGGAATAGTCATTTATTATTACCATCAAATATTATGAACTATATGTGATCACATGTGACTTACTCTTATATAATGGCAGTGAAACCAGCCTATTTATTCAGCACCACCACAAACAGGTGAGTCATGCATTGGGCCACCAAGTTATGACAGCTATGATGTCACCAGGTAACAGGAATGTTTGGCTCCGTTATTATCTTGCAGGATCACTGCTGTATGTGCAATCCGTGGTTGACTTCCTCACTACATTGCACACAGTGGCATATGCTCTGGGGGGAATGCAGTTCTGAGTTTAGATGTGTCTTCCTTCTCTCACTGCCAAATTACACTCCAGAATTGTCCCCCGAGTTTCTTCTCTCTAAGAAGAATGAAGGTCACTATACCTTCCCATATCCCAAATCTGTGAGGTCATCACCCAGCCTTCTAAGCTTTGCCAGTCTGATGGAGTCATCAGCTTGCTATGGCTACTGTCACAAAGTACCACAGACTGGACAATCTAAATGACAGAAATTTATCACCTCCCAACAATGGAGACTGAAATTTTGAGGTCAAAGTTTGTTTCCTTCTGGGGCTGTGAAGGAGAGTCTTTTCCCATAGCCTCTTCCAGCTTCTTGTGATGGCTGGCAATCTCTGGAGGTCCTTTCTTTGGGTATATCAGCCCCATATCTGTCTTCATCTCTGGTGTTCTCCCTGGGTGTGTGTCTGCATCCAAATTTCTTCTGTTCATAAGGATACCACTCATCAAATTAGGCGTCCACTGTAATCCATTATCACCTCATTTTAACAAATCACACCTTCAACAGGCCTATTTCCAAATAAGGTCACCTTCTGAGGTGCTAAAGGGTAGAACTTCAACGTATAAATTTTGGGAGGACCCCATGCAGACCATAATGGATGGGTGTGGAGTAAAGTCACATCATTGCTAGAATTTTCATTTCTTTAATTTCTAATGAAACTGAGAACTTCATACCTTTATTGAGCTTGGATTTTCCTCTGGCGTAAACTACTGGTAAGTGTCCTTCCTGTTTTGGTAATAATATATGAGATGTCTAGGCAATTACACTAGGGTGAAGGCAGAACCCAAGTCCTGATTAGACCACCTCCTTCAGAACCTGAGCCATCCCACCAAGTGTCAATCCTCTGTCCCCCACACACACTCACTATCTGCCACATTATTTCCCTCTGGTTTATTTGCATCCTACACATGCTCAGTTCCCTTCTGTTTCTTCTAGTCCCCCCACAAAACCCCTTCACTTTATCTCACTGCTCCTGCCATGAGCTTTCTTCTCTGCTTCTTTTTGTCAGCACTTATTGAGAGCATTATTTTTACAGAATCTCTATTTTTAGTTTTTGGAGGAACCTCCATACTGGTTTCCAGCATCCTCACCAGCATTTGTTGGTGTTTGTGTTCTTGATGATAACCATTCTGACTGGGTCTGATACAATCTCAACATCTTTTCAATTTATGTTTTCTGTACAGATAAGGATTTTAAAACTTTTTTTTCTGTATTTAATGGCCATTTGTACTTCTTTTTCTTTTGAGAACTGTTTGTTCAATTCATTTGCCCATTTATAATTGGATGATTTTGTTCTTTGGGTGTTTAACTTTTTTTAGCTTTTTATATATTCTTGGCACTAATTCCTTATCCAGTGATTTACCACCAAAGATTCTGTAGGTGGTGTTTCATTCTGGTAACTGTTTCCTTTGATGTGCACAAGCTTTTTAATCTAATGCAATTTGTCAATTCTTAAATGCATTGCTTAAAAAACATTTTTAATAGTATACATTGTTTTTCAGGGAGGATTCATTGTGGCACTTATATATGTGCTTACACTGTACCTTGGTTAGATATCACTCCTCCATCATTCTCCTTCATCCCCTTCCTCCCCCTTTCTTAGAACAATTCCAACATGTTTCATTGTTCTACTTCCATACATGAATATGAAATACTTCCACCATATTCTCCCTCCTTCACCCTTTCTGTTTACCCTTCCCCCTCCCACTGCCACCCACTCCAGATAGAACTTATTTTACCTTCCTGTCCTTCATTTAAAAAATATATATATTGATTGCTCAAGGGGGTTTTACTGTCATTGAAAGCTTTATTTTCAATATCAACACCAGTTCCTCTCCCCTCAGTCACATCTCTTTTTTGTTACATTTTTATTTATTTTAACTGCATAACTGAACAGAGAAAATTGTTTTAAAAAACTAAATGAAAACCACAAATTCCTTCCCATCATATACCTTCTACACCACGTATTTCTCCAAGAATAACCTATCCTGTTATCAAATTGACTTCAGCCCTTCCCTGGGAGAGAAAAGTGTTGGGGAAGATAAAGAGAAAGAGAGAGATAAGTGAGGGGACAATTTGGACTCTTTAGTCAAAATTTCTTCCCATCACTCCCACCACCTCAAATGGCAAGGTTCCCACATGTCCGCGTTCCATTGGAACGGTATAGACAAGAAGGTACATTAAACGCTTTCCTCCTTGCCCAATTTGACTCACTTCCCTTTTTAACTTTTTAAAAACATTTTTATTAATATCTGGTAGTTACACAAGGAGTTTCATTGTGACATTTCTATATATACATATTTTGTACCCAGGTTTGGTTCATCCTCTCCCGTATTTACCCTCTTCCCCCTGTCCCTTCTGACAATGACTTTGACAGGCTCAGTGTTCCATGTTCATCCATGTATACAAAGTACATCAACTATGTTCACCCTCCTTAACCTCTTCATTTACCCTCCCCCTCCTGATATTACTCTTCCCTTAACATGATCCGTTTTACATTCCTGTCCTCCATTGTTTTAGTGTCTGTTCATTTTTTGGGGGGTGGAGGGTTGTCTTGGTATCTTACCTGTAAATATATAATAAATTTTATTGCATATACTTAAAGTATACAACCTGTTGTTTGGGTTGCATAGAAAAAGTAAAGTGGTTGTTATAGTGAAGTAAACTGTTCCCTTCATCTCACACTCTTATCAGTTTTTCTGTGTGTGGCAAGAGTTGGTAACATCTAATCCTTCAGCAAAAATTCTAAATAGCATACCACAATGTTTTCAATAGCTCTCTTATATATCACACCTGTAAACTTCTTGGTCCACCATATCTGCTATTTTATGTCCTTCAACCCACACACCACTCCTCCTAGCCACTATTTTTTCAGACTTCACAGAGAAAGTGAGATCATACAATATTTGTCTTGCTGTCTGTCTTAATTCATTTAGCAAAATTTCCTCCAAGTTCATTCACATTGTGGCACACAACAGGATTTCATTCTTTTTTTTTAAAGGACAGAACAATATTACTATATATTTATATATATGTATTTATATACATATCACAGTTTCTTTATCTATTCATCATTCATCCATCCAATAAAGAGCTAATATTCAAAAGAACTCAAACAACCCAGTAGCAGAAAACAAATAACCTGTTTTATTTTTTTGGTAGTAGTGGAGTTTGAATTCAGGGCCTAGTGTGTGCTAGACAAGAGCTTTACTGCTTGATCCACACATTCAATCCTTTTTATTTTAGTTATTGTTTTGAATAGGGTCTTGTATTTCTTGTCCAGGCCAGCCTTAGCCCTCAATCCTCCGATCTCTGCCTCCTGCACAGCTGGGAATACAGGAGAGAACCACCACACCTGGCTATGGCCTTGAAACACAACCCTCCCTATCTCCACCTCCTGAGTAGCTGGGATTAGAGTTGTGAAACACCACACCTGTTTTAATAACCTGATTTTAAAACGAGCAAAATATTTGGCTTTTATTTAGTTCTTCAGAGAAGACATAAAAATGACATCAGGCACATGAAAAGGTGATCACTATCATCTGGTAAACACAACTCAAAGGCACAAGGAGATATTACCTCACACCTATTAGGATGACTATTACTAAAAAGAGAGGATGTCAGTGAGAGTGTGGTGAATAGGATATCCCCATCACTGTTGGTGGGAGTATAGACTAGTGTGCCTATTAGGAGTAAGAGTATGAAATTCTTAGAGAAATTAAATTTTGGTATATACCTAAATGAAATGAAATCGGTACCTCATAAAGATACCTCCACTCTCATATTTACTGCAGTATTACTCACAAACCCAAGGTATAGAAATGACTCTTGTTATTTCTTGTACTTGGTGCATGCAGATCACCTGAGTGGTTTTACCTGGTCAGTGACCCAAAGTTTCCTTGCTCTGGAAGGTCCACTTTCCAAGGTCCAGACCACAAGGTTACCTCCTTCGGTAAGTAAATTGCCTAAGACTGGAAGCCACATTTACTAATCTACGTATCCATAGCATAGGCCCAAGGAAAGATTCAACTGCAGACATTTGTCAGACATGCAGGTGATTGAGTAAATATACCAGGAGCCAGGAATCTGCTGAGATGTTTGATGGGTCCCAGAGCATCTTGACAGTTGAGAAAACTTCTCTCTACTTGAGTCTTCGGGACATTTAAGCTGATGGCTGGGACTGGGGACATGTGCAGGATTCTAGCAGAGCTACCCCTGGCTGAAGGGGCACCTGCACACTGCGCCTCACACCACTGTCTTAGCTCTCCTCTCGGAACAAGGCAAGAGTGGCGTACACACAGGGCTGTGCAGATGGATCCTGAAGGGTCCTGGAGGGAAGTGGATTCACAGTCCCCATGAGGGTCTCTTGGTGCAGCTGGGCATATGTCACCTCCTGCATGTCGTCCTCTGCAGGGACCTGCCATTCAAGACACATAAAGGGTTGAGAGTGGGTTCTGGGGACAAACAGAAGGTAGGTGAGAAGGACTCACCTGTGTGTCCATGTGTCTGTTCTCCTCAGGCTGTATGTCCTCCAAGTCATCACCTAAAAGGACAAATGAGGGAGTGGCCTCTGGCATGAGAGCCTCATATTATCTATCCTGCATTCTGTATTTCAGAAGTGAATGACTGAAGCCTGGGGAAGGATGGTGACATCACACAAAAAGGTGGCACATTCCACCTTTTCTGTCCCTCCCTGAAGGCCTCCTAGGTCCCCCAAACATCCCCTTTCCCTACCCAAACTTCTCTTCCCCCTTATTTCTCCCTTACATTGATCTTCTTTCTGGATGTCCACAGCCTGGCTGGAGCTGAGGAAAAGGGGATAAGAATGTGAAGGCAGGTCTGAGAAATTATGCAGGAATTCAATTTTTTTACTGAAGGAGTTCAAATTTCCCTACCTTTTATACTTCATTTGGCTCTTCGTCCCACCATCAGCAGACCCTGTGAAGGATAATTGTCAGCCTGGAAGAAAACACACCAAGTCCCTCCCCACATTGCTCCCCTGGCCCTCAGACCTACTGCATTTGGCCTGATGCTGGCATAGGCAGATCAGAAGGAGGAGGAGGAAGAAGAGAAAGCAGACACTGGTGACTGAGATCACAATCACAGTGGCACCAGGTAGACCTAGGACATAGCAAAGAGAAAGTAACCATTATTGAACTCTCCTTAGATTAATTCCATCACTCAATAAGATGTTTGTTGAGTACCTACCTTGCATGAAGAAAGCTGTTGGATCTTTGGAACATTGTAGAGACCTTACCTAACAAAACAATTTAGGTAATAACTCGCTCACAGAGGCAAACTTTATGGTGAGGTAAGTTTTTGAGGCAGGGTCTGGTTTCAGAACTCAGGCTGGCCTCCAGCTTCCTAGATAGGCCAGGCTGACCTCAGATCTCAGTCTTCCTCCTGTGTCTCTCAAGTGCTGGGATGGCAGGTGTGCACCACCATACCCAGTGGATGAGATGACAGAAATGCACTGCCAGAGATTAACTTGGGGAGATGAGACTCAAAAGATATCAAAACCCTGGGTCTCTGAGGGACATTTGGAACTACTCCCAGGCAGGAGGAAAAACAGACACGAGGCTTATAGGTAAGAGGGAGGCTAAGTGACGGACAGACAGAAAAGGTAAGTGAGATACACGGGGAGGCTGTTTCCTGATAAGGATGGGAGATCAGGAGTGGTCATCATGGTCAGAAAATGAAGACTGCAAGAAGCCACACAGAGGGGTTTAAGGCTATAATGGCCCACAAAGGGACACAGTAGCCATGAGTGATGTGTTGTTTAAAGAAAGATTGGGCTGTGTGTGATAAATGGATTTTAAAAGGGAGGTGGAAGTGTAGTAGTAATTACAGGTCAAGGTAGCTGGGTGGCTGTCAATCTTGGCATGACACTTGTTGATGGTGGATTAAAGAAGGGACTGGATTTCAGGGATGTTTTAAGGATAGAAATGATTTGATTGGTAACAGAGCAAGTGGGCATTAACAGGAAAAGAAGATCATTGAAGGACACTAGTTAGAGAGGGTAAAAGTTATCCACTGTGATGGTTCAACAAATGTGAGGAAGAGCATTTTGGGATATTTCAATAAATAAGGCTCTGTTCGAGATTGCTCACTGTCTGAGCAGGATAGATGCGTTCAGGACCGCCATCTGGATTACATAAACTCAGAAGCTCCTGAGGATGTGTGGACTGCACCAATAAGAGCAAAGCCATCAACAGTATCGCACAGAAGCAGTGCCTAAATATGTTCAGACCACTGAACACACGTGCCTACCAACTGCCCATATATAAACTCCAGTCACAATGCTGCACTCTACCCTATCCCTGACATTACTTCCTTGGGATTCCTGCCTACTTATGTCCATCCTTTTATCCTTAACCTGTGCACACTGTCACAATTTCCTATAAATCACCGAATATACCTCTGTGACTACACATGCCTGGAACTTGTCCCCTTCCCCAAATGCTGAAAAGTCCCAGCTAACAGGAAATGATGAGGCTTATGAAACTTGACCCTCATCCACCAAGAAGACTGAGCTGCCTCCCCCTTCACAGCTGTGCAGGATTTGACCCTAAATCCCTCTGGGCATTCTGCAAATGTCCTTGGCTTCCTTCATTGGACAAGGGACTGTTCAGATACTATAGTCACAGCATCACCCACTAAACATTGTAGGAGACACAGAAAACCAGAAAGACATTCTGATATCTGAATAAAGAAACTAGCAGAGATGGTTTTGAACTTTCTGTCCCAAAACTTAGCAATTTGCTGCTGTTACTAACCCATATAGAGAGAAATGGCCTGGCGGTGGGGCTTCAGGACGTGACACAGCAGTCACTGAGCAATACCTCACCTGTCATGCAGGATCCCAAAGGCTACCACTACATTATAGAGCCTCTTTCAATGATAGGTAGGGACTTCTCTTCCCCCCCAAATAGTTTGACTTTTCTGCCCCCAAATTGCATTAATGAACCTATAAATACTCAGGATCTATGAAGCAAAGACAGTGGCTAAAGACAGAAGGAACAGAACAGAATACATACAACAGAACCACACAGCAGGCAGACACTTGCATTTGAACTGCCTCACCTGAAACACCTTGGGACAACCCTGGGACAAAATAAAGGTGCTCATATTAGACATTACTCACCTGTGACTGAAAGCTCAAGAGGTTCACTAGGTATTGACCAGACATGGCACTTGTATGTAGAGGAGACATTACATCTGTAGGTCCCCCCATGGGTTGGACTCACAGGGGAGATGAGGAAAGTCTTGTGGGTCTGATTTGAACAGTCCTGAGGGAAGGAAGCTCCTGCATGTCTACACAGAATGAAGATATTCATAATAAAAATGTATGTCACAGATGAGAGTCACATTTTCTCCTGAGGCCACCTGGACACCTGGATGAGCAGTGAGGGAAGGTTTGACATTGAAGGCATCTGGAAGTGAATACAGTAAGTTATTAAAAACATAATTAAAATAACTCAGCATTCTTCTAGTCTGATTTGACTCCTTCCTAACTTACAAGGATCATAAGGATTAAAAACACATATATATTATTTCCATGACAAGGACCAGAATGTGGCTATCTGTGTACAGTGAAGGTTTGGATCTATCTCCAAGTGATTCTCCTCTAGGGGTTGTAGTAGCCACCTGGCTGAATAGAGCTGTGACCAAAGTCAGAACAGAGGGAAGCTAGGACCCAGACACAAGAAGCAAAGATACAGGGCAGGACCCGTGATGGGTACATCTGGTCTACTGAGGTGGGCAGCAAGATCCAAGGCTGCATGACAGTGTTCTTGGACTATCCCTCACCTGTCACCACCAGCTTCAGTGGTCCACTGCGACCTGACCAGATATCTTCCTTCCAGTAATCACAGTGGTAAATGCCTGCGTTGGTGTCTGTCACACTGGAGAAGGAGAATTCAATCACCTTCTGTGCTCCCTGTGGATGATGATCATATGTATGTCCTTTGAGTTGTTCATGATTTAGACGCAATACTGTCACCCCTGAAGGGATACTGCAGAAGATGGTCACAGAATTTCCATGTGGAATGACTGTGTTCGGCACTGCCCAGATGGAGGGCTGGGGTGATAAGCCTGGAGGGAAACAGAAGCAGAACCCAATCATCTAATGTCAAGAGGCCCTTGTTCCCATGAGGCTCTGGAATGGCTTAACCTTGGTGAATGGTTAGAGGGCAGGATCTGAACTGTGAGCCCTGTGAGTGAATCTTAGACACTACAAACCACAAAAGTAACTGTTGCAGTGGCAGAACATCTGTCCTTCACCTAGAAGATGGGGTCATTATGAGATCGGAACGTGTCACTATGCTTCAATATGAGACACCAACCAGTCGGCAATATGAGACACCAACCAGTCGGCAACATGAGACTTTCATCTGTCTTCCAGAAGCCACACACTTCCTGTCTCCCCTGAACATGCTGTCACCATTTCCTGGGCTGTTTGCTATCATCTCCAAACCATTACACTGTGGAGTGTCCTGGCCTCAGTCCTCAAACACTTTCTTTTTCCTTTAAGTACACAATTTTAGGCCATTCCCAATACCCTCAATCATCTGCCTATCACCTATCTATCATCTAATATCATCATAATCTATCAAGTGTCTGACTGTATTTCTGTCACCAATCGCTATCTACCACCTATTTCTACGTGTGTGTGATCTACCAATTTTCAAGTCATCTATGTACACACACACACACACATGCACACCTTTCACTTTGACTCTGTATTAGTTCACCAACCATAAAACAGTCACCTACACTGGGAAATTTCAATTATGTCCAAAATTGAGCTCCCAGAATATTCAAAACATGTATCCTACCCTCAGCCTTCCCTGCTGAGGAATAGCTATCTTCCTTGGCGCTATACTGACAGGCTTCTCTCCTCCTTTCCATTCAGCCTAGAAATGAATGCTGTGAGTTGACTAATTTATCACCTAGTGCGGAGGCCAGGAGACATTGTATCTCTTTGGATCATTGGCCTATGTCTGACTTTATCTCCTTCCACATAAGCCCTAACCCCTCCCCTACTCCCATTATCACACTAACGCGTTGGGTCTTATATAAATAAGTCAATCATCTCGTTCCTCCACCCATAGCTTCTAAGGCCTCTGCTGTCATACACAAAACATGGGAACACTGCCCCAGGTCAACAAGGCTCTGTGTGGCCTAAGTGTGGCCTATGACCTCATCCCTCACCCATTCCCAAAATGGCAAACGTACTGACCACAGTCAAGATCACTTCGGAGTGATCATCTCCTGTTCTCTCCAAGTGGTACAACCCACATGGCTCTAGCCTCCCCCTCAGGATATTTCTCCAACCCAGGGGACTGAAACACCTCCCATTGCTTGCAATGTTACAAAACTGCAACATTTCCTAAAACATATGATCAGTGCCCTTTCTACCCTTAGCGATTCCCTCCTCCCAACAGAGGCACATGGTTGAAATGAATCCGATTTGTTAAAGCTATTGTTCCTTCAATTAGAAGGGAAGTTGGGAAGTGCTCTTCCCACTCACACACAAGTATGTATGGCCAGAGTCAGACCAAACATATCTAATTTCAGAATAATGCATGGAGTTGGTGATGCATGCCTGTAATTTCCTAGCACTCCAGGGAATACTCCAGGCAGGCATATCTTGAGTTTGAAGCCATCTTGGTTCTAGCCCAGTTCTATCTGAAACATGAACTTAGCTCTAAGGAGGTATAAAAAAATGAATTAATCACTTGTATTAATGAGCTGAGAGCCTCAGTACTGCAATGTGAATACACAATGAAATTGAGCAGTTACAAGTTTATGACATATCGCATAGAAGGAAATCACTGCTTGCCACTTTATATGCATTGGGGTCTGCCACTGAGCACAACTCCCACTATTTTTGAGATGCACACATATTGTGGAACGGGGTCGTGCCAACACCAGATTGAAGAAAGGTCACAGAGATCAAGCAAATTACCAGGTCTACATTAAAAATCAAAACTGTCATTCATTTCTGTAATAGGATTAGCAGATTCAGAAAGGACCCAAAAATCGTACGGTTCTCCCTCATATCGGTCTTTAGCTCTAGGCAAATAAGCAATTGTAGGACTTGGGTTTACATGACAAGGGGAAGACATATACGGGAGTACGGGGTTAGACCAGAAAATTCCCAAAACATGAAAAGCATTTTGATGTCCCCACTCCAGAGGAATTAATACAGAAACCTTAAAGCGACAGAGGTCACATTTGAGAAGGGATCAGGAACTAGTTGTAAAGATCAATTAGAGATGAATCAACCTGGGTTGTACATGAAAGCAATGCTAGGAATCTCTCTGTAAAGCTGTCCTTATCTCAACTAGCAAAAATGCTATGTCTTTCTTATTGCTTATTTACTCTTCAATGGAACTGGAGAAAAGTGTGGAACAGGTTCTGCCTGGAAGGAAGCGGGGAGGGGGGAGAGGGTGGGGGCGGGGGCAGGAGGGAGAAATGACCCAAACAATGTATGCACATGTGAGTAAATGAATAATAATAAAAAACAACTGTCTGGTGAATGAAGTTTCTTAGCCAGGAGCTGATATCAGTAATAGACATAGAAATAGCTCAGGTGAAAGCAGGTAGAAAAATGCAGCACACACAGAAACACTGATGTTCTTGTCCTCAAAGACAGAAGTATCCCCATCCTGTGAAGCTGCAGTATCAAGGGTCATCATAGCTGTGTGTCCTCTGTGCAGTATTAATACACTGGGTACACTCTCCACCCCAGGACAGATGCAAAAGCAAGAGCCAAGGGTGAAGGTGGAGAGTGCAGATGGCAGATCACTGTAGCTTCCAACTCAGGATCAGCTCAAGGTGCCTCCAGCTACTCCCACACTCAGAGAACTCAAACTCAGACATATCTAGGACACAAAAGGAAGAACTCACCCTTGTGTGCCCAGGTTCTATGGTCCAGATAAATCACTGAAATAGAGAAAGACCTGATGAGAGGTTCCTGCCTTTCAATGAACAGATCCCACCCCCTGACTTAGGAGCACCACACACGTCCAGATGGAGAAAAGGAAGGGAGGTGTGATCTCTCAGCAGCCACTTGGACAAGACATTACAGAGAAAGGAACCATGAGAGGAACCCGAGTAATTAATCTTGGTGGTCTTTATTTTTACTCCTCTACCCACTAACTAATGTCCCCTGTAGCATTCACCTAGTCCAAGAAGCAGAGTGACCTCAATGGCCATGTCCATGCCCCCGTCAGATCTCAACATGCAGCACAGCCAGTTCTTCACCAAATCTTCACAGCGGTACACACCCAAGAGAAGTCACAGAGGGTTCCAGAGCCCATGACACAGCATGGTGACATCAAACACTGAACAGGAAGAAAAGCTGCTCTTGCACAATGGCAGGCTCTGCCCACCAATCCTCCACCAAATGCCTGGGGTTGGAGCGAGTTCGTCTGTGCACTTTCTGCTCTGATCTGACAGACACTAGATGGGGAGGGATGAAATGCTGTCTGCTGGGACCTGGGGAGATCAGGGGCATTATGGAGAAGAATGTGAATGCATCCAGAAAGAATGAAGCTCACATGTGGAACCGAGGCTGTTCTGGGACAGGCCATGGGCAGAGAGCAGAACTGAGAACATGGAGGAGAGGAGTGACCAGCAGGATCAGAGATGTTTCTTGAAGACCAGTCCTTGGGTATTCATGCTCTTTGGGGAAACTCCCCAGTCGACTACACAGCCCAGTGCTGATGATACCATTTTATGGGGTGTGGGACTTGGGTTTGAACTCAGGGATTCATGCTTGTAAAGCAGGCACTATACCTCATGAGCCACACCTTCAGTCCATTTTGCTCTGGTTTTTGAAGATGCAGTTTCACAAATGAGTTGCCCGGTTAGCCTTGAACCACAAATACTTCTGATTTTGGCATCCTAAGAAGCTAGGACTACAGGAGTAAGGCAGGGGCACCCAGATTGATGATAACATTTTACACACTTAAGATTTCATGCTGTATCAGAGAAACTCCTTCATCAACTACACTGCCCACAGCTGACCATACTCTATTGCACACTTAAAATTTCCCATTAACAGAAATATCACAATTTTTTACAAACAAAACCAATGAGAATCATAAAGAAGTGAGAGTCTCCTTTGGGAAGATATTGTTGCGGGAAACAGCGAGGGAAACAAAGTCACCGAGACCACTTTGCAGGAAGCAGGAATTTTTATTATGCTAGCGGACTCAAGGGAGATAATTTCTCAAAGCCCTGAGCCCTGATCAAAGTCAGGAAATGAGTTATATACCCCCGGGTGGTTTATGTAAACAGAGGGGATTTGCAGTAGATGGTTCACAGGTGGTCAGAAAGACAAGCCAGTTACAGAGAAACAGGCTGGTACAGAGTTTCCCTGCTACCCCTCTACAGACTGTGGTCACAGTTACAGGAAACCTTGCAGGGCCTAGCTGGAGGTCTGTGACACTTTTGAGCTTGCAGAAAGCTATTGTGGCCGCAGAGTCGGAAATTCAAAGCAATTCCGACACATAGTAATCCCAGAAAAAATAACACGTTGACTTCCCAATATTTCCCCCATTTGTGCTTTGACACTTTTATTTGTCAAAAATGATTCATCTGCTTCTCCCTCAGGAACTTTTAGGATTATTTTTTTTTTGCTTTTTTTTTATTCATATGTGCATACAAGGCTTGGTTCATTTCCCCCCTGCCCCCACCCCCTCCCTTACCCCACCCACCCCCTCCCCTCTCCCCCCCCTCAATACCCAGCAGAAACTATTTTGCCCTTATCTCTAATTTTGTTGTAGAGAGAGTATAAGCAATAATAGGAAGGAACAAGGGTTTTGCTGGTTGAGATAAGGATAGCTATACAGGGCATTGACTCACATTGATTTCCTGTGCGTGGTGTTACCTTCTAGGTTAATTCTTTTTGATC